ACACATATCATAAAGGTAAAAAAGGATATATGCAGTCTTATCTTCATTTTAGATATCAAAAGGGTTTTGCGGCTCCCAGTGTTTTGTTTTTGGTGGGAAACGTGTCCAAGTGGCTCTTTGAGTGTTTTGGGTTGCCTACCCCTGATATAGCCCAAACTCTATATTTTAACTGGAAAAGTTGGGGGTCGTCTTATACGCCGGAAAATACGGTATATATGATATATACATACACACACACACATACATACATACATACATACATACATACATATATATATATGATAAAACCAATAAATATCGATCACCAAGAGGAAAGTAATAAATAGTAAAAAAATTTAATGAGCTGAGCTTTCGTTGGGCCCACCCAACATCATCAGGGCTTTAAAAGTAGTCACTGGGAAAGAGCTTTTATAAGATGTTAACAGCCTGCATCCGGCTTCTGGAACTTGTCTTTGGGGTTTGAGTAAAAAAAAATCTAAATATATTTCTTCCCAGGAAATCAAAATATTATAGCTTAGATCAGGGATCTCAAACTCAAAAGAATACCACAATGCTCCAAATAAATGAACTTGTTTTATTACTGTTTCCACTAAATCTCTGGAAGCTTTGAGGAAAATTGAAGAAGCATTGAAAAATGTGAGGAAATATTTCATAATGTAGTAGAGATCTTTTTTTCTCAAGATTCTCCCCCTTCCCATGCTAATTTTTGTATAGAAAGCAATGGGAATTCAATGCAAGTACTGAACTCTATAGTCTTTTGTCTTAAATCACAACATAAATTCTTCTGCCTTCTCAATTTATAGAAAAATATGGGATGGAAGGCAAAAGTGCAACAAGAGAAGGTTGAACCACAATTTTACCCTTCTGTATTGGGGGCATGCAGGAATCTTGTAGTTCATTTGCCACTGGTTACTTCTTTCAGTTTATTTGTTTTTCACGTGTGATCTTTTCCTTTTCTGAAAATAGGAATCCATTTCTAACCAGTAGCAGCTTCCCGGCACCCTTAACAACATGACTTCCTTCATTCTTAAAATAATTTGCTTTCTAAAACAAGTGGAAACCTAGAAAGGCTTAATGGGTGTGCTGAATCTTAGTACAAAAATTAACATTTTCTGGACTTCTGGTCACATTTTGTCCTTTTGCAACTAGAGTGCTCTTCTTTGCTAACATGCTCTGTATTAAAATATGTTTATTTAAATTCTTCTTTCAATTTTTAGATGAGAAATCATTAATTGACAGAGTATCATATGCGGGTATGATCAACCCAGAGGATAGATGGACAACACTACAGTTGAATGGCCATGTTGCTCATTTTGAAGCACAAATAAGAGTGAAATGTGATGAAAACTATTATGGACCACAGTGCAATAAATTTTGTGGGCCCCGTGATGACTTTGTGGGCCATTATACATGTGACCAAAATGGAAATAAGGCTTGTATGGAAGGATGGATAGGTGATGAATGTAAACAAGGTATTGTATTTCTCATGTTTTATAATGCAACAGGTATACTGAAATTGTGACATATTTTTATGGCAAAAGAGGAGAAGTGGCCAAACTAAAGATTTTGACTACTTCCCTGGCCTATTTTTGTAGCTATTAGATACACTCATGACTGAAATGTAGTAGCAAACTATCCATTTTTAGGTGGCACTATTTTCTTCGCTTTATTTATACACACATGTATGTTAACCCCCCAGAGTAGATGTATTAAGCTTCTGGCATTCATAAGTGATAACAAAGTTCATATCATCAAGCCATCTACTGCAGTATTTGAAGATCAAAATAAATAAATAGTTGTTCTTCTCCAGCATAGAATATCTGCACTATTATTAACCCAGTACATTATGTTGATGCCATATCTCAATTAGGCAGTCAGGACCTTTAAGCCACATGTTGTCTATTCTAATTAATACTGTCTCTAAGTTTTGGAGCCCTTTCTAAATAGGAAAAAGACAGGGGCTCAATTTTATAACTTCTGCAAGCAAAATAATGTCCATAATTGAATTATGCCTCTTGTAAAATAACTAATATGATTTTGTTTATTAGAGATACTGTATTGAATCAGCAAGACTTTAAAAAGCACATAATCACACAATGTTTTAACCATAGAAGCTCTTGAACCGACTGCCTACTTCAGTGAAGCTCATTATTTTTAAAATGTTTTTTATTCTACATTTCTTCTGAAACGTTCAAGAATATGCACTGCTTACTATAGTAGGCAAGCTATAATGACTGCTATTTTTCACACATCTTATATTTCAGTGGGGTTCAGCTGTGATTTGCTTTCTTAACCAGATAAACTCTAGTATTACTATATTTAACACCTTATTTGTGTAGGTTGATCGAGTATATTAAGAGACTAGACTGTTCTAGAAACTTCTTTTGAAGATGCTGGGCTTGTGTTTTGAAAGCTGACCATAGTGCAATTGTTTCATTTGTCTATAGTTCACAGTTAAAACACTACGAAGACATTGGACAGCTATTTGTCTGAAATACTTGACGGGAGGTTGGGCTAAAAAACCTCCAAGGTCCCTTCCAACTCTGTTATTCTATTTTGTTCTGTTCCTCATTTTATAGAACTTAATCTGCATCCATTCCAAAATTAGAATGTTGGCACAGCATCTGAGATATTATATTATATTTATATCTTGTAAGAATAGCTTTTGGACAGGATATTTTTATAATGCTTTATGTTTCCTCTTCCTTTGTATCTTTCTGTGTTTCCTGAAATAGATATTTTTAGACCCGAAAAATCACAAAAAAATCTATTTGGTTTTTTGTATTCAGGAGGTGATGGATATGATAATAGTAATTGATACTTTTAGCTAAAACTGTTCCACTTTTTCTTAAAACTATCCTTCAAGAAAAAAATCAGTGCATAAAATGGTAGTATCATTTAATTACAGTAATCACTTTTTCTAAAGAGTTAATTCTAACTGATGTTTAATTCTTTTTTTTCATAGCTGTATGTAAGCAAGGATGTAATTTAATCCGTGGAGGATGCAGTGTACCTGGGGAGTGCAAGTAAGCTTGCTTATTTACTTACTCTGAGTGGCATAGAACTCCCCAATATGTAATTCAGACTCAAATCATACAATGTTAAAAATAACTAGAAACATTCCTATGGAATCAGGAATAAAAACATTAACAACTTTGAAGAATTCAATCTCATCATTGAAAGACAATTATAGCAAACCAGCTTCTGTGGCTTGATAGAACAATCAGGTTTCATAGAAACCAGAGGGAAGGGGCAGATTACACAATTGGGCAGAAGGTGCTATTCCAAAGGAGTGAGATGGCAACTTAAAAGGAGTGCTTATATTGCCCTTAAAATAACAATTTCTAAGGGAAATATAACAAGCCTACCCAGCTACTGTAGATCTTAACAGGCAAGGCAAAGATACTCCCTTAGCTATTCAAACTCCATAGATATCTTATAACGAAATATACCATAAGGAGTTCACAGCCGTTCTATGAATTGCATCTGGAAGCTAACTAGTAACAGCTCTCAGAATAGAAGTCATATGTGGATATTTTGAGATGCACCCATCACTAACTGAGTGGCTTCATTTTAGTTCACCTATAACTTCCACACTCTTTGGAAGTATAGCCCATGTCATTACAACAGCCAGATCAACAGGTAACAGGCTTAGAATGAGCAATGGCTGTTGTTCCAAGATAATTTACTGTTGATTGCATACAAGATGGAGCTTGCAAATGCCCTCTTGACCACAGCTGTACCTGCTCTCCTTAAACTGCAAACCAGTTCGGCCTGAAGCAATAGAACTCTGGAATTAACAGTGGAATCTCACTCAAAAATCTTCCTTGGATTGAGTCTCTACCTGATCCTATCCAGACTCAGACAACCTCCAGGCACCTGAGCAGCATTTCAAAAGCATCAACTACTCAATGAGGGGTCAAAATACAACAATGAATATCATCTGTATACCAATGTAACATTACCCTATGCTACTGGAGGATCTCACTCAGTAATGTCGTTTAGATGCTGAATAAAAGTGGGAGAGCATCAAGCCCTGTAGCACTCTCCATTAAGAAGCCTATGATTCAATCTCCTTAACCACCACAACCCCAGAATTGTGACTTCAGGAAGGGGGAGAAATTGCAATTCACTGTAACCTTTGGAGATGGTTCAGAAGGATATAGTGTTCTGTGGTACTGAAAATTACTTCCTCTAGGATTCTCTACAATTGCAGTTCAGTCACTTTTTCCATAATCTTCCCTCAAACGGAGGGTTGGAGACTATAATTGTCCAGTATATCTTGATCAAATAGTGGATTCTTGGGACAAGACTCATTATCACCTCTTTGTCAGTATGAAGTTTATGTCGATATGTATTAGATTTACATTCTGTCTTTGTTCAGATGCAGTATATACAATTTACTTATTTTTCTCCTAAACAACAATCTTGTGAGGTGGGTTGGATTGAGAAAAATGGTTTGGCACGAAGTTAGTGAGTGAGTCTCCGTAGCTAAGGAAACTGGGTCTCCTAACTTTTTAACTGCCAGATCATTGTTTATATGCATCTTTATGGGCATATAATAATTTTGTGGAGAAGATACTTAATTGCTAAAGATACTTAATTGAATTTGAGAGATTGTTTCTATTTTTCAAATGATAACCTTTTATAAAATTGTATTGCAAGCAACTAACAATAAATTTAGCACATATTTTTATATTTTCCAATATAGACATTGTTGTCAAATGTATAAATTAAAATAGTTTTATATACCATCTGTCTGCTCAAATAGAGCATTTAGGGCAGCCTTCAGATAAAATGAAATAAAACTATTTCGAGTAGCACAGAAAACAACTCATGAGCAGCTTTGCTCTCGCTGCCATCCTGTATTCAAGTGCAGTGTTTCATTTACACATATAATACACTTAGAGCTGAAAACCAAATATTCCCAAGTAATCTTGATATTTTGACTTTTTTTGTCTGCATCCCAAGTTATAGCCTAGTTAATGGGAATCACTAATATAAGCTGTTTTTCCTTGCATAATTTATTTTGAACTCAATAGCTTTGCTATTTGATATTATAATGTGATTAAAAAACTAAAAGCTGTTGGCAACTGCTCTTTATCCAACTTATTATCCAATGAATGTTGGGTCCTTGAATGAAAAATGAATTGAGAATGAACAAGAAATGAATCTTCTGTTCCTTGAGACAGCTGCATAGTGCAATATGAATTACCTTTACAATCTACATGTGGTGGAATCCCCCAAAAAAGTTCTTTATATATTTACTTGGTTCCTGCAGAAATTTAGGAAGTGTGCTATAATCAAACTTATATGGACAAGTAGCTCATTCAAGCATAGATCAAGCTTATATAGACAGGTAGCTCCTTTCTATGTCTGTAAAAACAGTAAGTTTGCTTCTAGTGGTTAATTAAAAATACTGTTTCCAGGTGAATCTAAATACCTCCATTTTACAGTCTAGTATAAAATAATGTATTCTTATTATCAGCTATATATTACTTTCAATGTGTATATAGCTTTGGAACCAATATTAGAAAATTGATACAAGTTAGTTAATAATTTATAATTTTATATGTTTTATTGCTATTATGTTTTGTAAGTTTTATCCTTTTTAACATTGTAAGCCACCCAGAGTTAACCTGTGGTAAGATAGGCAGCCAGTAAATTTAATAATAAGTAATATAATTGACAGTGGACATCATGAACCTCTTGTCTGATGTGGGAGGGATTTCAAAGATTGGAAGTAGAGAGGGAAATGAATTGCCTTCAGCATTGAAAATGTTTTGCGACAATCTCTTGGCTACAGAATAAAACAATGATACATTCACAAGTATTTCAGAATACTCAAGATGATAAAATACAGATGTTTTTAAAAAATAATTTGTACTGTAAACCTAAACATTGGTAAGCAATACTTAGCTCCTGATGAATGCTGAAATTATAAATCAGGCAGGCTGCTAGCAACCCAAAATATTTTTAATTTACATAAGAAGGGCCATTGATACTAAAGAAAACCCCTACAGGTATATAGTTTTGTAACTTCTCACTGACATATGTCAGATATAGTAAGAGATACGTGTGTTTAAGATTACGGCAATCCATGGTGGCTAGATGCTTGTTGATGTTAAAGACTGCTTACACAACATAACTGAATGCAAGTTTGCAACTTAAAATTGTATGAACATTGTAGTTGTCAACTGAAAATGAACATATTGCTAACATTTAATATGCACTTATGTCTAGGTGTAATTATGGTTGGCAGGGGCAATTCTGCGATGAGTGTGTCCCCTACCCAGGCTGTGCTCATGGGAGTTGCAACAACCCATGGGAATGCAAATGTGAAACCAACTGGGGAGGCCTGCTCTGCAACAAAGGTATTGAACTTCTACTTGTAATAAATACTATTAAAGCTTCAAGGTTAACAAAAATTTAGTAACGCTTGTTTATGTAAAGATGTTTACTTAAGAGCATTCAGCAGAATCTGGTTTGTATCAGGTAACTTTTCTGTAAGATGTTGTTTGGTGGCTTGATGGATGTTTCTCTATGTGCCATTATAAATGTCACAAAAATGACAGTATATGCAATAATTTACATGAAATCAGATGCATTAAAGGAGAATTTAGATATGGATATATATATATATATATATATGTTAGAGCTAGAAAAGTATTTTAAAATTTTATTGGAAAAGGCTTTCATATGAAATTCTGTACTTATGACTTTAATCCTTCTTTCTATCTAGATTTAAACTACTGTGGAAATCATCATCCATGTGTAAATGGTGGAACCTGCATGAATACAGAACCAGATGAATATAGCTGTGCTTGTCAAGATGGTTACTCTGGAAAGAACTGTGAAATTGGTACATACAACAGTTAATAATACATTTTCTACTCCAGAAATTTTATTAATTAGTGACATAGTCGTGGAAAAATTCAAAATGCATGGCATTTTCCTGTTTCCTGTCTGCATTAGAATTAAATGAATTTCTATTCTCTCCACTGTCTTTTATGAAAATATATTAATCTATATTTCAAGAATTTATATATAAGTTAATACATACTTGCAGGCTGGAATTTGCTTTTTACAAATGACATCTTTGTCTTAGATAATCCCCCAAACTGTACAAAATAATGATAGGAAATACACTAAAGCTGTAATAGAGAAATGTTAGAAAGTATGTTCATCTTATTGCAGTAGGAAAACAATAGGAAAAATATTTATTGTTATTAAACTTCTATGCCACCCATCTCGCCAAGGCAACTTTATGCAGCTGATAATCTGCATATGATATAAAACCTTAAAACAATAAATACAAAGCATACATATAATTCAGTTAAAATTCAGTTAACCAAGATGGGAAGAAAGGAGCAAGGTACGCATGGGGAGGAGGTAGGGTCTATCTAATCAATTAACCACCTCCAGAAGGGATGTAGATTTCACCTTGGAAGGGGCAGGATGTTACATACAGTAGGAATCATGGCAGAAAAGGCTCTTCTCCAGGACCACACCAAACAAAATTTCTTTACTGATGGGATCTGCAGCATGCCTCTTCTGCCAGTGCGGATGCGCTGGGCTAATCCCAACCGGATGAGCCAGTTCCTCACATAACCTGGACGTATGCCAGAAGGGCTTTAAAAGTCATAACCAATACGTTGAATTGGATCTGGAAGCAAACTGGCAATCTACAAAATATTCATGAACATACATGA